GGGGGGGGGGGGGGATTCCCTTTTTTTTGCAGCGCAACCCGTGTCCAAACGATAACCGTGTGACTGGGAGAACTGGAGAACCCGATCGTTTTACGAGCTTGCACCACGCTGGATGGAGGGGTGGAGAAACTGCGGACAAAGTATGACGTGGATGAATCTGATAAAGTTAGTTTCGCATCCTGGTATTATCGTCACTCCAACGGCGTGTGTGTGTGTGCGCTGAAATTTACTGTTGTGTGAACACTATTGAGGGAATCTTTCTGTGATAAAGGCTGGTCGTGTAATTACTGAGGTGCAGATTACACTGGTAGAAAACGCGGAAATTTCATGGACAGCGAACTAGCAACGTTTAGGAGATATAGGTGGAGAGAAGTTCTTTATTAAGTCCCGGGATAATAACTGCATAAGGAGAAAAGTATAGGTTTGCAGAAATTCACAAAAATTTGAAACAAGTGGGAAATTGCTGTAGTATTGCATATACACCTTTACAAAATTACACTTGAAATTTCGAGTGAAAACGCGTAAAATCTTTAACAAGGACAAAGTTACATGAAATTTCTGTAGAATTCTTCATTGACGAATCAGTTAATTTCTTGAATAGTCAAGTAATTCTCGATTTTCAGGTGCATATGGTACTGAAAAACCTGGAAATTATTGGAAATTGAGGGAATAACTTCTCTGAATTTTCAATCTATTGAAAATTGAATGGTATGTCATGTTCAATTTTCCCAATGAGTTTGAAAATTCAAACTTTGATTGAAAAATCAATGATCGTTTAACATGAAAAACTCAGTTTTCTTACATTTTCGAGATGAATGAGAAATTTAGTGAACGTTTTCAATTGAAATTGAATTCAAACGCACAACATTGACAATTCAGATGACATTATGACTGAAATTTCAAGAAATTTTTAACAAACTAGTAGAGTTTTTTTTGTAATAATGTGTATTCGCAATGACTTCCATCGAACATACGTATGAAAAAATTCAATAGAAAAACCTCAGTGAATTCGCTGGAAAATTGTATTGGAATCCTCTAGAAATTCTATTGGAATTTTACTGGAATTTTATTAAAATTCTAGGGAATTCTCGTTAAAATTTTATTTGTTATTTGCGCTGATGCTGTGAGATATTTGATAGGAAAAAGTCAATAGATCTCCATTTTTCTATATGAATATTCTCTTCTGTAGAATTCTTCATTGACGAATCAGTTAATTTCTTGAATAGTCAAGTAATTCTCGATTTTCAGGTGCATATGGTACTGAAAAACCTGGAAATTATTGGAAATTGAGGGAATAACTTCTCTGAATTTTCAATCTATTGAAAATTGAATGGTATGTCATGTTCAATTTTCCCAATGAGTTTGAAAATTCAAACTTTGATTGAAAAATCAATGATCGTTTAACATGAAAAACTCAGTTTTCTTACATTTTCGAGATGAATGAGAAATTTAGTGAACGTTTTCAATTGAAATTGAATTCAAACGCACAACATTGACAATTCAGATGACATTATGACTGAAATTTCAAGAAATTTTTAACAAACTAGTAGAGTTTTTTTTGTAATAATGTGTATTCGCAATGACTTCCATCGAACATACGTATGAAAAAATTCAATAGAAAAACCTCAGTGAATTCGCTGGAAAATTGTATTGGAATCCTCTAGAAATTCTATTGGAATTTTATTGGAATTTTATTAAAATTCTACGGAATTCTCGTTAAAATTTTATTTGTTATTTGCGCTAATGCTGTGAGATATTTGATAGGAAAAAGTCAATAGATCTCCATTTTTCTATATGAATATTCTCTTGGAATTTTTTCTATAACAATACTTAGGTACGAATCTTCTAGGTTTTTTTTCACTCAGATCCTGCAATGCAAAGCAAAACAAAACATAAAGAAAAAAACATAAAAAATCCGTGCCCAATAATTTTAGTATAAAAAAT